TGCGGGGCAGGGAAGCCGTCAGCCAGGGCCACTGGACCCAAATCCCAACAAGCACCCACCTCTGGGCAAGGATACCTCGAAGAGCAGGAGTGATTCCTCCACGGGCCGGTCCCGCCACGGCGAGGGCGGCGGGTTGTGGCCCTTGATCTCCTCCACCTTCTGGTGGCAGACGTAGGCCTGGCCCCTGTAGGGGGGACAGGCGGTGAGGGGACACAGCAGAGCGTCCCCTGAGCATCCCACCCATCGCCCCAGCACCCCCACCTGCGGATGAGCTCCAGGGCCCAGCTGTAGAGCTGGTCGAAGTAGTCCGAGGCGTGGGTCACCGCGTAGGGCTGGTAGCCTGAGGGACGGGGCAAATTGGAGCCACCCCCGGGACCTACACGCGGGGATGTCCCCAGCAGCAGCCCTGCCCATCCCAACCTTGCCAGCCCTCGCCGTACCGAGCCACTCCACCATCTCCCGGATGGCCGTGAAGTATTTCTCCTCCTCCTTCTCGGGGTTGGTGTCGTCGTAGCGCAGGAAGCACACGCCCCCGTTGGCCTGGGGACATGGGGACAGTGAGCAGCCGTTCCCCGTTTCCCCGCGGGGTCTGGGCACAGCTCGGGGGCACCGCTCACCTTGGCGTAGCCGAAGTTGAAGTTGATGGCTTTGGCGTGCCCGATGTGCAGGATCCCGTTGGGCTCGGGAGGGAACCGCGTCCGCACCTGCCAGGAGGAAATGGGATGGCTGTCCTACAGCAGGGGGGCACCGAGGAGGAGCCCCCCGTGCCTCCCCACCACCCCACCACCCCACAGAACCCCCCTCAGAGGGGACCCGAGCTCACCTGCCCGCCCGTGACCGCCAGGTGCTGCTTCAGCAGTGCCATGGTGTTGGGTGTCACCACGTAGCCCTCCGTCTTGTAGTTCTCCCCTGGGGTGACAGCGCGCTCAGCGGCCCCGTGGGGAGGGGTGCGGGGCCAGGACAGCCCCCCTCCCGCGACACAACGCTAGGGCCAGCACGTGGCAGGGCTTCCCCGTGCTCACCCGGCTTGTGGAATTTGAGGGCTTCTCCCCGCAGCTGCTCCAGCAGTGATTTTGCCTCCGTGCTCACCTCACCTGCAAGGACAGACGGGGCTGAGCCGCTGCCACCTCACTTTTGACCCATAAAGGACAAAAGGCGCGAGAGCAGCGCTGCCTGATGGGACAAAGGGAGGGCCCCAAGCAGTGCGAGCTGCCTGAGCACAGCCCAGCTCGCTCCTAGGGCCGAGTCCCAGGAATTAGGGGGCTGGGACGTGACAGAGCCCTCACCGTTCTCCACCACGGGCGCCTTCTGCTTCTCCTCCTGGACCAGCCGGGCCTTCGTAGCCTGCAGGGACAAGCACAGCCTCAGCACCCGGCTCCAACGCGCCCCTTCCACCTCCCAGCTCCCTTGGCCCCATCCCGGGGCGGCAGCCGGGCACCCGAGGAGCAGGGGGACCACGTACAGGGACGGGAGCCAGCCCAGAGCACGGCCCCGAGGGTGGCCGGGGCTGCAGAGCCAGAAAAACACCATCCCAGCTGCCAGCCTTCCCCCCTGCATCACCTTTGGTTTCTTTTCCAGGTCTGCTTCCGTCTTTGGTCCCAGCAAATGCAGCACCTGGGAAAAAAAACATCTCCGTGCAGCGCCCCAGGGCCTGAGAGCAGCCCCGTGACCCGCAGCCTGCCCCACACCCACGCAGGACGAGCTGTCCCCGGCCCCACAGCCCCAGGGGACGGGCACCCACCTGCAGATCCACCTCGTTCTTGATGCTCTTCCCGTCCGCCCACTGCAGCCGGCTGCGCGCCTCCCCTGCAGGGGGGAGCACAGCGTGGGCGAGGGGCCCAGGGGGAGGGGGTTTGGCCGGGGCTCCCCGCACCAAATCCCGGGCCAGCAGCCCCGGGATGGACCCCGAGTGCTGGGGGTGCCCCCACCCCTCCAGCAGGGTGGCAGAGGAAGCCCGGAGGGGACGGGACACGAGGCAGGAGGGGATTAAGGCCCAGGGACCCCGCTGCCCCCAGCTCACCCATCAGCAGCCCCATGTTGAAGCGGTAGCGCTCGGCCAGCAGCTCCTCCCGGTGCCGGCTGATCACGGCCTCCACCTGGCGAGCACAACGGGCACACGGGGCTGAGTGGTGAGCTGGGACCCCGGTCCTATGTGGCGACCCTCCCCTGGACCCCCCAGCCCCATCTTGTGTCACCCCAGATCCCCCTGGTCCTGTGTGGTGTCCCCCCAGACTCCCCGTATGATGTGTCCACCCCCTGACTCCCCGCCCCTGCAGACCCTGATTTCTTGTGTTTCCCCCAAAAAAAGCTCCCCAGTCCCTTGTGTCACCCTCTGTCCCCTCAGCCCCCCGTCTCTCACCGCCTCCTCGATCTGCTCGGGGCTGACCCTCACGCCCACGCCGCACGCCCGCTCGAAGTCGGCTGCGTCCAGGGGGTCAAGCGGGTGGCTGCGCAGGTACTGCAGGGCGGCTGCGGGCACAGCGCCGTCAGCAGCAGCATGAGCCCACCCCAAAACCCCCAGGTACCCTTTAAAGACCCTCCAGGATCCCCCAAAGGCCCCCCAGGACCCCCCAAAGGCCCTCCCAAGCCCCCCAGAACAATCCCAGGACTCCCTTGAGGCCCTCCCCAAGCCCCCCAGGGTGCCCCAAAGCTCCCCAGGACCTTCACGAGGCCCCCAAGGCCCTCCCCAAGTCCCCCAGGACCCCCATAAGCCCTCCAAGCACCCCCATAAGGCCTCCCAGGACTCCCCAAGGCCCTCCCTAAGCCCCCCAGGACCCCCCCCAAGGCCCTCTCTAAGTCTCCCTGGACCCCCCTAAGCCCCTCAGGATCCCCCCAGAGCCTCCCATAAGCCCTGCCAGGAACCCCATAAGACCCCCAGGACCCTCCCCAAGCCCCCCAAGCACCCCCATAAGGCCTCCTAGGAGCCCCCAAGGCCCTCCCTAAGTTCCCTTGGACCCCTACAAGCCCCTCAGGACACCCCAAATACCCCCAGGACCCCCCGAGGCCCTCCCTAAGTCCCCCTGGACCCCTCCAAACCCCTCAGGTCCTGCCCAAAGCCCCCCAGGTCCCCCATAAACCCCCCAAACACCCCTATAAGGCCCCCCATTACCCTCCCCAAGCCCCCAAAGCCCTCCCTAAGTCCCCTTGGACCCCCCAAAGCCCTTCAAGACCCCCAAAAGCCCCCCAAACACCCCCATAAGGCCCCCCAGGACCCTCCCCAAGCCCCCAAGGCCCTCCATAAGTCCCCATGGACCCCCCAAAGCCCCCCAGAACACCCATAAGGCCCCCCAGGACCCTCCCCAAGGCTCCCCTTCACCCCCCAAGGCCCCCTAGAACTCCCCAACCCCCCCCAGGACCCCTCAAGGCCCTCCCTAAGCCCCCCAGGACCCCCCCAAAACCCCCAGGACCCCCATAAGCCCCCCAAAACCCCCCACAGACCCCCCAGGACCCCTCCCCACCCCCCATCCCCCCCGCACCGCCGAGCTGCAGGTCGCTGCGGATGTCCCCGCGGCCGATGTAGGCGACGAGGAAGGCGAGGCGGCCGGGGTCGCGCAGGCGGGCGGCGGCGTTGTAGAGCAGCGCCCCGGTGGCCTTGTCCAGGCGGGGGCCCAGCTCCCCGCGGGCCTGCAGCACGGCGCGGCGGAGCTGGGCGCTGAGCGCGGCGTTGCGCAGCGTCTCGCGGGCCTTGGCCTCGCTCAGCCCGATGCCCGTGAACAGCCCCAGCGCCTCCGCCTCAGCCTCCGCCTCAGCCGCCGCCGGCTCCGCCGCCATCGCCGCCGCCATCTTGGCTCCTTCCTCCTCCCCGCCCGGGGAGGAGGGCGGGAAGATACCGGGGGATGAGCCAATCAGAGCTGAGCGTCGCGCGCCGCGGCCAATAAGGAGAGGGAGAAGCACGGAGAGGGCTAGCGAATAGGAAGGAGGGGGGCGTGGCTTAGGGGGAGGGGAGGGGGGTGTTTTAAAGGGCCAGGCGCGCACCGCCACGTGGGGGGCGGGGCTGGGGGCTGGAGGGGGCGGCCCGGGGGTGGGCTCAGCGGGACCCCAGCGGGACCCCACGGCCACGCGTGTCCAGCCCGTGTCCCCTCTGTGTCCCCGTGGTCACTGGTGTCCATCCCCGTGTCCCCTCTTGTGTCCCTATGCCCACCTGTGTCCCTCACGGTGTCCCCACAGCCACCCGTGGCCATCCCTGTGTCCCCCCCTGTGTCCCCACAGCCACCCACGTCCCTCACGGTGTCCCCACGGCCGCACACGTCAGTCCCCATGTCCCCTCTTGTGTCCCCATGGACATGTATGTCCCTCACTGTGTCCCTATGGCCACCCACACCAACCCCTGTGTCCTCTCTCGTGTCCCCACAGCCACACATATCCACCCCCTTGTCCCCCCATAGCCACATGTCCCCCCTCCATGTCCCTACAGCCACCCGTGTCCATCCCTGTGTCCCCCTCGTGTCCCCACAGCCCCAGGTATCCCCTCTTTATGTCCCCATGTCCACCCCCATGTCCCCCCCTTGTTTCTCATGGCCATGCACATCCCTCACTGTGTCCCCACAGCCACCCAGTGTCCATCCCCATGTCCCCTTTTGTATCCCCACAGCCCCAAGTGTCTCCTCTTTATGTCCCCACACCCACCCATGTCTATCCCCTGTCTCCCCCCTTGTGTCCCCATACCCACCCGTGTCCATCCCCACATCCCCACATCCCCTCTCAGTCCCCCCCCACCAGCCCCCAAGCAGCACCATCAGAGGGGTGGTTCAGCACAGGATTTATTCTCCCTGCCCCCATTTTGGGACTCCCAGCACCATGCCCTACCCACCAGAGCCACCCCCGAGCTGTCCCCACGGCCACACACCCACCCCTCCCGCAGGGCCTCAGCACCCACCGGGCCCCTCCTCCGTCCCCGCCGCGTCCCCCGGCTCGGTGCTGGCGGCCGGCAGGGGCTTCATGCTGAAAGTGGGCGCTGATGTTGGTGCCCGAGACGCTGCGGTACTCGCCCAGCTCGGTGCTCACGGCCTCGTTGTGCCTGAGGGTGAGCAGCACGGGCACGGACAGCGTCACCTCCTTGCGCAGCACGCGGACCCTCAGCGCCGTGCGCGGGGGGATCTTGGCCGGCAGCTGCACCTCCACCCGCTCCCGCCGCGTGCTGGCCTCGCTGCGCCCCTTCTGCACCGTGAAGACGTTGGAGGCCTCCACGGCCAGCGTGAAGGACAGCCCGGCCTTCAGGCTGCTGGCGTTGCTGAAGTGGAAGCTCTGCCAGAGCGTGGTGCTGTACTCCCGCCGGCTGCTCGCCGACAGCGCCTGCTCGGCCGCCGTCTCGTTCACCCCCACGATCTCGTCCACCAGCACCTCCCGCTCGGCCTCCACCCGCTTCTGCTCCCACAGGAGCTGCGCCGAGACCTGAGGCTGCCCCGGCTTCAGCGGGCGCAGGTGGGACAGCCTGGCCTGGAAGTTCAGCTCGGGTTTGTAGTCGGCCAAACGCTCTCCGGGCCAGGCCAGGCAGTGCCAGCCGCCGCGGCCGGGGTGCTGGTAGAGCAGCCAGACCCCGCGCTGCACCACGTGCGAGGCCACGCGGTCGTTGAAGTAGCCGTAGGCCAGGTTGGTCTCCTCCGTCACCACCTTGCAGGCCCCCTGGAAGTTGGGGCGCTCGTACAGGGTGATCTGGGGGTCCCCCAGGTCGTGGTGCACCAGGCGCAGCGCCGAGAAGCTGTTGGGCCGCCCCACCGAGGGGTACTCGCCCTCCTCGAAGGCGTGCGGCTCGCCCTCGTACTTGGGCTCGGTGTAGGCGATCCAGGGCTGCCCCACCACCTTCAGGGAGGCGATGCAGTTGCCGAAATCCAGCTCGTGCAGGTCGGGCACGTCGCAGGTGAACTCCCGGCTCAGCCCCTCGAAGTCGGGGCGCTCGTACACCGTGATCCGGTTCATGGTGCCGCCGGCGCCGTCCCTGCGGGGGGCACACAAACCCGGCACCTGGGCTCGCGTGGGGCCGCGGGGAAAGCCTGGGTGCCAAAATCCCTCTCCCAGCCCCTCCTCTCCCCCCTTCCCCTTCATTTCCCCCATCCCCATCCCTGTGCTCTCACCGTCTCCGCCGGCAGCGCCCCGACGCCGGCCCGCGGCCGTGCCTTTTATTGAGGCTGCGTGCCACGACACGAAGCGAGGGCGCTGCCGACGCTCAGCTCCTGCGCCCTCCTCGCCCGGCCCCGGCCCCGCGGTGGCAGCGGGCACCCGCACGGCCCCGCCGCACCGGGACGCCCGGCGGCCCCACCGACCAGCCCTGCCGGAAAGTCCTGCCGCACCCCGGGCACGCGGCGCTCCAGCGCTAACGAGTCACCACCAATTATCAACGGTGCTTCCGTGCCCTGCCCGCTGCTAATTACCCGGTGTGCTGCCGGTGGGGCAGGACCGGCCAGGCTCGCCCCGGCGGGGTGAGAGGGGGCAGTGGTGGGACCGGGTGGCACCTGGGGACGAGCCCTGGCTGTGCCATGGTGCCACTGGGAGCTCAGTGCAGGCCCTGGCACGGCACGGCCACCCGGCACGGGACAGCCCCTGACATGTCACGGGGTGTGAGGACAGAGCCCCGAGGCACGGCGTGGTGTGACGCGGCACGACGCAGCCCCCCGCACAGACCTGTGCCCGAGGAAGGCCCGGGCAGGCGGTGGCACTTGGACCCCCTCGTCCCTCCTGGTGGGGACGTCCCCGACCCTGCTGCAGGGCAGGATGCTCCAGGACCTCCTGGGGTGGCCACGGTGCTCAGCTGAGCCCCCACAACCCCCCATGGGGCAGCAGCTGCCCCCCTGCACCCCCCTTCTCCTTACGGCAAGGGGCAGCCTCGCACCCGCAGCCCCCTCTGCTCCGCCAGCCCCATCCAGCGCCGCCCCTGGGGGCTGCAGCCCCCCTCCCCAGCACCCCCCCCCTCCCCAAAACGCGCTGCCCCCTTCCCGAGGCGGGGCTGCCAGGGTCTCCCAGTTTATTGCCAGATGTCGGGGCGGTCGGGGTTACACCAGACAAACGCTACAGAAGCGGTTAGTGAGCGAGGTGCCACCGGCCGGGGGGGGGGCCGGGACAGGACGTGGGGACGGACACCAGGACGTGGGGACGGACACCGGGGAGGGGCTGTCCCGCTCGCTTCCCCCCCACCCTCCCCCACCCTCCCCAGCCCACCCCCTCCCCCGGTGCCGCACGTGCCCCCCTCTCCGTGTCGGGGACCCCCTGCGGCTGCCCCGGCCCCGTGTCCCCGAGGAGCCCCGGCCCCACGGCGGGTGTGTGTGTGTGTGTGTGTGTGTGTGTTTGTAGGGGGGGGGTCCCGGGCACGGGGCAGCGAGGGTGGGAGGCGGTGCTGGCATTATTGCTATGGCAGGCGGGAGCAGCGCGACCCTCCCCACGCTCAGATCACAGTCTCAAAGAGCGTCGTCTTCTCCTTGGGGGGCTCCGGGGCCAGGAGCTTGGCTTCGGCCTCGGGCGTCAGGTACTCCAGGTGGTGGTGGCCCCAGATCGGCGTGGTCAGGAGCTGCCAGCGCTGCGGGGACGGGATGGGGTCGGCACCGGGGCCACCGAGATGGGGGTGGCACGGGGCAGCCCCCCACCCACAGGGATGGGGTGGGCATGGGGTGAGATTGGAGTGGGGAAGGGGCGGAAATGGGGTTGGGAGAGGGATGAGGGGGGCACGGGGATAAATCTGAGATGGTGACGGGATGGGGACAGGGATGGGGATGATGAGGGAGCCCTCACCTCGCGCAGGGAACCTTTGCAGCGCAGGAGCTTGTAGAGGACGGTGCAGGGGATGCAGAGCATGGAGGACAGCGCCAGGACCCAGCCGATGGCGTCGCCCCACCAGGGGTACACGTACGTCTTGTTGTACGTCAGCGGCTTGTAGTTCACCACGTGGAACACGAAGATGCCCTGGGGCGGGGGGAAAGCGAGGTCCCGGCTGTGTCACCCCGCACCCAGGGGTGTCCCAGCACCCAGGGCCGTGCCGTGCCCCCAGCAGCCGCCGGGGGGAGCCCGGTGCCCGCGGTGCAGCGCGCACGGGACGCGCGCCCCGGTCCCAGCCCACGCGTGAGCGTGTCCCCGGCTCACCACGCACACCAGCGGCGTCACCACGGCCCAGCACCACTTCATGAAGGGCAGGGGCCGGTAGCCGATCATGCGGGCCACGTCGTCCATGAAGCGGTCGGCGCCTGCGGGGACAGGGACGTGACAGCGGGGTCCCGTGGGGTGCCCGTGCCTGCCACCCGTGCCTGCCACCCGTGCCCGTCCCGTGGGCTCACCGTAGACCCAGGCGATGACCACGCACTCCCAGAAGGCCTGCCACAGCAGCGTGATCCCGCTGGCCGAGTAGTAGTCAAAGAGCTGGAACACGTACATGCCGCCCTAGGGGACGGGGACACGCGTCACCGGGCTGCGCCGCCGGTCCCAAACGTCCCCGAGAGCCCCCCGGCAGCACGGACACCCCGCAGGCCACGGGAGCTCCTGCCCCACGCCACGGGAGGGGACAGCACGGCGTCCCCACGGCTGTCCCGCGTCCCCACCTGTGTCACCATGGAGAGGTCGATGAGGCAGCAGACGACGCAGCAGAGCGCGGCGGTGAGCTCGCGGCGCAGCGAGCCGGCCCCCGGCTGGGGGAACAGGTCCAGGATGCCCGTGATGAAACCCTCCACACCGACAAACTGCGGCACACGGCAGGGCTCAGCGGGGGCGTGCGGCCCCGGCCCCGGCCCCCTGCCCATCCCCGCCGCCGTACCTGGCTGTCCAGCCCCAGCACCAGGAGCATGAAGAAGAAGAGCGTGGCCCACAGCGGGGACAAGGGCATCAGCGTCACAGCTTTGGGGTAGGCGATGAAGGCCAGCCCAGGGCCTGCGGGACAGCGGGGTCAGCGGTGCCGGCCCCACGGGGGGCACAGGACCAGCCGGCCCCCTCCACCCACCACTCACCAGACTCGGCCACCTTGGAGATGTCCACGCCTTGCTCCGAGGCCATGAAGCCCAGCACGGAGAACACGACGAAGCCGGCGAAGAAGCTGGTGGAGCTGTTGATGACGGCCAGGATGTAGGCGTCCCTGCGGGCAGAGAGGGTCACGGGGAGCCGGGGGGGGCACCGGGGGGTGCCGGGGGCTCCCCGTGAGGGCGGCACAGCCCTACCTGTAGCAGTTGTTGTGGAAGCGGTTGTAGCTGCCCAGCGCGGTCAGGGCGCCCAGCCCGATGGCGTAGGAGAAGAAGATTTGGGTGCCGGCGTCGATCCAGACCTGCGGCGCAGGGGGACCGTTGGGGGTGCCGGGGGGGCGCAGCGTGTGTCCCTGTCCCGGCCCCTCCCGGCCCTCGCCTCCCTCCCCCTGCCCTCACCTGCGCCTCGGCCAGTTTGGACCAGTCGGGTTTCAGGTAGTAGACGATGCCGCCCAGCGCCCCGGGCAGCGTCACGCCGTGGACCAGCAGCAGGATGAGGACCACGTAGGGGAAGAGCGCCGTGAAGTAGACGATCTGCGGAGGAGGAGGGGGTGCTGGTGAGCCCCAGCCCCCCCAGCCGGGCTGTGGGGCAGGGCTGTGGCTCTCTCGTGCCGCAGAGTGTCCCCGCTGAGACCGGGACCTGGGACATCCCCGGGTGCTGGTGGCACCCCCCAGGCGGACGTGGGACCGGCGGGGCCATGGCGTGGGAGGACGGGAGGGAGGCAGCACCGCAGCCCCCCCAGCGTTACCTTCCCCGTCGACTTGACGCCCTTCCAGATGCAGAAGTAGACGACGACCCAGGTGGTGACGAGGCAGAGAATCATCTGCCAGTTCATCTCCCCCGGCTCGCTGAGGTCCCCGGAGAGCCGCAGCACCTTGTTCCTGCACAGCGGGGCAGTGCTGAGCGCCGGCACATCCCCGGCCCAGCCGTGTCCCCGCCGTGTCCCCGCAGTGTCCCCGCACTCACTCCCAGAACTCGATGACGGGCGAGCGCTTGTTGGCCAGGTCGGTGCAGCTGAAGTTGAGGGCCCCGGCGGCGGCGGCGGCGCTGGCGTTGGTGCTGGCGTTTCGGCACAGCTCCAGGTGGAAGAACTCGGCGCACTGCTCCGTGTTCCAGGCGTGGCCGCAGGTGGCCCAGGGCAGCGTGTCGGTCAGCGAGTGCACCAGGTAGAAGAGCCCCCACACCAGGATCATGATGTAGTAGGAGTTGCAGAAGAAGACGATCACCATGGAGGCCAAGCCCAGACCTGAAGCACCACCGGGACGTCACGAGCCCGCGGGGGGGCTGGCACGGGGCCCAGCCCACCCACGGCGACCCAAACCCAGCGGGGACAGGCAGAGGGGGAAGAAACCCGGGGCAGGACGGTGGTGCCGGCTGGGGCTAGGACTGGCGGTGACGGCTCGGGGCATGCGGGGAGCCCGGGGCAGGACGTGGTGAACCGCAGGAGGTGGGAGGAGGGAGGGGACCCGGCGGCGCTCGGGGGAAGCCGGCGGCGGCAGCCGGGGAGCCGCGGGGCAGGGCAGGGCGCCGCGGGGAGCTGCCACCCTTGGCCGGGGCGCCCACGGGACACGGGCAAGGTGCAGGCAGCAGGCAGGGCGTGGGCAGGGAGCCGCTGGCGGCAGCGCACGGGCACGGTGCCGGGGGGCCCCCGGGCAGGGCCGGGGTGTGTGTGTGTGTGTGGGGGGGGGATTTAAAGGGCGGCGGGGTCCCGGCGGTACCTTTGAAGAGGGGGGCGATGTTCCAGGCGGCGATGCCCCCCTGCTTCATGAACTGTCCCAGGGCCACCTCCAGGAAGAAGACGGGGATGCCGCCCACGAAGACGATGAGCAGGTAGGGGATGAGGAAGACGCCTGGGACCGGGGGGGAGGAGGAGGAGGGTGGGGGGGGGCACACGCGGGGCAGGCTCAGCCGCCCGCTGCCCCCCTCCCCGGTCCCCCCCGCGCCACCCGCCGGGCGCAGCGAATGGCGAGCGGGCCTCCGCGCAC